TATGACATACAACTTACCCCCAATTTCTCTGGGATGTCAATTGCTTCTTTCTTGAAGTTCACTATCCACTAAGGTCTTTAAACCCAGCAGATTTCAAAACTAAATAAACAAGATGTCGACAGCAAAGACTACAAAAATTGACTAGAACTCAAAACTGTAATGCTTTTAAATATTTTCAAAAATAAACTGTGCGACATACCCAGTAATAAAAACAAAGAGCAAGGAAGCTTCAAACAGATCTATAAAGATATGATATAAAAACAAAATCAAGACCACTGCACTGCACCTATAAATGATATTATGTTAATAAAAAACTTATGTAAATATTTACACTTAATTAATAAAATATTTGTGATTTCTCTTCAAGGCAAGGCCGGAACTAGAATTTTGGCCAGGAAAGGCAAGCTTAATTTTGCCAATCCTTTATTCATCTCCCAATGAAAGTCAAGATTTTATGCCAATGTTTTAGGTAATATATTTTGAAATAAATACAATAATCTCATAACATTAATTCATTTTATTGACAAAATAAGGTCAAACTAACTAGGAAGTAGAAACAAATATATTTTACTTGTGCAAAAAAAAAAACCCACTGCCCCTCCCCCCTCCGCCATCCCCTTTATCCCTTCCTATTTCTAGCTCTGGTATTATGAATGACTTCTTTAGATGAAGAGGACAGAATAATTTACATTTACATTTAGTAATCCTGATCCACTGTGATATTGAAGCATCAAAGGTATGAGGGATATGTTTCCACTGATAAATAAATAAAATCTGTATGGTAAACTGGTAATATTCAATGTCCCTTGAAGCCATGTAAAAATGAGTTCATTTTTAATAACTAACCAATTAATATTAATATTAATTTATTTATTCCTAATTCTGTACAATTGAAATTGAGAAAAAAATAATTTAAATAATATAATAAATTATACATTATATCATATACTAAATGCTGATACTGATGTTAAAAAGTAGGGATTATTCTAGAGGTTACCATCCAATTATAGCCAGACCAGGAAGGTTGAGATTCATTCAATGGGTCAAAATAAAATTTAATCAATCGGAGCCAGATTAGGTAACTATGGCCTCATGTAAATTTTATGTATGAAAACATAAAATAAATATGTTTATTTAAGCCCTCAACTGAACGGGTAAGTGCTACAAGAAAAATGGTCCAATTTTTACTAGAAGAGATATAAATCCAAATAGTAACAATATATAATCATAAAGTACAATATTGATACCACTGAAAATCAGTATTTAAGATGATGAAGATAAAAATGTACAATATAAATATTGAATACTTTCCGTATACTTTTCATCAAATATAGTAAACTATGAACTAATGAATTACAAAAAAATCTAATTGTAATTCATCAAACAGCCTCATTAAAGTAACACTTCCTTACCACTTGGATGTAATTCCAGTCAGTTTGTAGAATTCATATAGAAAATCTTTAACATTTTATCTAAAACAGTAATTCAGTGCAGTGTAGAGGTCTAACTAGCTGAAGCTATGAACAAAATATGGCTTGCAACTGAAATTGTCCCCAAACGTTATGAGTAAGCTCCCAAAATTTAATCTTACCTAATTTAATTTATTATCCTAACTGGTTTTAAAACGGTTTCAAATAAGAATAAGAAGTTTCGAATTATGATAGTCTGTCATTTAATATTAATGTAAAAGAAATCACTTATTAACCAACCAGTGTTGCCACTCATCACCAACAACAACTACTTCATATCTTCTTACCGGTACTCTTTGAAAAGTCGTACAACTATTGTATGCTTAATATTTAAGGTACAAGTTTAATAATACATAATATTTTTAGAAACTAAAGGACAACTTTCTGTGAATATTAAATAATCCTAAATGATTTGTATATTCAAGCAAAAATTTTATACGAAGCAGGAGTGCCCACTCTCCTCCCCTCCCCCCCCCAAGGTCGATATCGCAAGAAACCCAAATCTCAATATATTTCATTGCTCTTCTCTTCTTAAAAACAGTGCAAACAAATATATAATTTAAAAAATTGTAGATCATTCATACAATTGTATTTGCTCCGGTCTAGGGTGGGTCAGCCGGAGCTGAAATTATTTAGATGAGGACTGCAAAGGTCACGCGTCATTCACAACCACTTCGGTCACACTTGTTCATAAAACACTGAAAACAGCCTTTCGGATTAACCCAGATGCAATAACCACTCCATGAACAAGAGTGATCGAAGTGATTGTGAACCACACGTAACCCGTGCACTCCTCATATAAATAATTAACACTTTTACAATATGACCCAAGAAAGTTCCGCGGACCGGATAGGAGATGTTGCCCATGGGCCGTAGTTTGGAGACCCCTGGTCTAGCTTAACTAAAAGCCACATTACTGTTAAGCCAAACTATTTATTTTGTTACTGACGGCATATGGAAAATACCAAAAACAAGAAATAAAAAAACTATCATAGTGAATAACCCTTTATATATTGGGTGGATCCATGAGTTGTTCGGTTTTTGAAGGGTGAAATAAAACATTTTTTTTTCATACAAAGAATATTTTTTATTCTATAATGTATTTGCCGTTTTTATTAATGATCTCTTGACATTTCATTATTTCTCTCTCGTAAAACATCTGGGGGTTAATCCTGAAGCGAAAACTTTATCGTGATTTCTCATGAAGAATTTTTGAAGAGACCGGAATGAGTGGTAGTCGGATGGTGCAAGGTCTGATAAATACAATGGGTGTAATAAAACATTCCAGCCAAGTTACACTAACTTTTACAATGTGATTATTGCGGAGTGTGGTCTGGCGTTGCCATGCTGGAATATAACACCTTTGTGATTGACTAGTTCTGGACGTTTCTGTTGCAATGCTTGGTCCAATTTCGTTAGCTGTGTGCAATAGATCTTCGAAGCGATCCTTTTTTCTGGTGTAAACATCTGGTTAAACAGCACGCCGCGCAAATCCCACCATCTGGAGAGCAAAATCTTTTCCAGACTTAAGGGTGGCATTAGGCGGCTCGTCAGTAGTTGTTCACAATCTCGTGCGCACTATTTTCATAGATAACCCACTCTTCGTTACCCTTTACTATTCCGTTGATAAAGGACCCGTTTCTTACCGATTCAGAAGAGAATGGCAGATAAATATTTGGTTGGCTATGTTTGCATCAGTCAGGTTGTGTGGACCCCAAACATCGAGGCGCAACAAGTAGCCAAGCTTTGATACCTTTGAACAGTTCTAAAACCTATTTTAAGTGTCTCCACAACTTCTTTTACCTGTAGCAACCGGTCTTGTTCAATTAGAACCTTGATATCATTCGAATCAACCTCGGTGGGCCGACCGTTGTGGGGTGCATCTTTGAGACTCATATTTCCAGAACAAAATTTGACAAACCATTTTTGAGCAGTACGTTCTGTTGAGGCATCGTCCCCGTATACCTTAAATATCTTTCGGTGGATCTCCGAACCTCGCTTGCCTTACTACGCTGTAGCATAAACAAAACTAATGCCAATGAAACCAAACACAATAGTTTCAAAGAGTGGACTTTGACCTTTCCGAAAAGCATCATTATTGTCAGATAAGGTAAAAAGAACTAGAAATATTTAAAAACGACTTGCACTATTAACGAAAACCGAATGACCTCATGGATTCACCCAATATTAGTTTGTCTCATATTTTATTAAATGTCTCAACCCATCCTCAAATCTCATACAAATACGAGAATTCTCGTAGGGACCACAACACTATACCAAGAAGTGTTTCTCAAAATACTCAATTGCAAACAGAGTAATTTATTTTAAACTTATAGTTAGAAAAAGTATTTAAAGTAATAAATTGATTAGAATTTTAATTAATATTAAAATTTCATTTCTATAGTTTTCAAAATAATTAGGATTGTGACCAGTGCTGGCCTTAGGCATTCGGCACCCTCGGGCTATGATGTCCTAAAAAAATTGATTTTATTTCTTAAGCTGTTTTATATTATGAAATATTTGAATTTGGGCTGAAGCCCCTCCCCCCAAATGGTAAAATATGACCATGTTTATGGAAAAATATATTTTAAAAATATCTCTTAAGGTATTATTGTTCATGTAATTACATTTAAAAGGACTTAAGGAATCATTTGTATAGGTAGTTATTTTCTTTATTTTTATCCAAAGTAATTATCGTCATTTTTATGAGAAAAAAAAAAGCTTTCGGGCTGAAGCCTGTTCCAAAATTAAATCCTGGATCCACTAGTGATACAATGTATGTATTACTGCTTGTTTTATGATGGCTTGTAGGATCGTTAATGATATTTTATTACTATTCATCAAGACAAAAAAGAAATGTATCTCTTCTCTTGATATTTAGTTTATTTAATTTCTTTTTTCGATTTTTTTCAAGGACAATTTCTTTAGTTTAATTAGACAGTACAATTAGCTGAATATGTAATTAAAAATATTTATATTTCTATAAAAACATAAGGTACTTATCCATGGAAAATATACCTTATTTTTAAAAAAATCCAAGATATGTACGTAGTTTATTTATAACAATAAACTATATAAGAAAATTTAAACAATTTTAATCCTTGAAATATTTCATTCTAGAGATTATCTCAAAACTCATTTTATGAAAGAGTATTTATTCCATCTGGTAACGCTTGAATTGCTGCTAGTTTCAATTTTGCAAATAATAGTTAATTATATTTGAAATTGTTAAAATTAAAGTATAGTCTTCATTTTCAAAAATTCTAAACAAATTTTAATCTAAGGTATATGTAATAGATAGTGATTGTCATATATTGCTTCTTATCTTCTTATAAAGATTATCTGAACACAGATCAAACAAGTAATGATTTTACGCAACATTGAACAACAGTGAAAAAATATTATAAATCTTTATTAAATCATAAAACTTCATTATAATAATTAGTAATTATAAATCTGTAATTTATTAATTTATGAAATAAAGAAACAAATTCAAGTACAACTATTTTATTTCTCGACATGTTAAACAAATCACATTGGAGTATTTGGTCTTCTTTTAACCCAATCTTTAATACCTGGTAAGGAATGGACTCGGTCTGTAAGTTGCTTGAAGAATGGATATTTTTCTGTCAAATCGATTCCTATTAGGGCAGGCAAAGAAGTACAGTAGCCTACGATGTACAACTCAGCCCATGAGAGCTAAAAGGAATTTCTTTTATATCAATATGTAAAAACATATTTTAAAATATTAACTGTTAAGTAATGATTTAATATTATTAATTACCCTTCTTAGAGTACAATACTGAAATATGTGGACAATTTTCAGATAAATTACATTTTAAAACAGTTTTTGTCCTAACCATTGTGGTTTTGACGTGACAAATCACTTCTTGTTCATCAATGTTTTTATGATAGTAATATAACTTTCAACATTTCCATATGAATTAAAAGCTTAACAATAATAATAAAATAATAAATGAGAAAGAAATAACACATTAACTAAAGGCTTGTGTACAAGTAAAATCTATACTACTCAAATTTCTTCAGGAAAGTTGTTAAGAATTTTTAAACCTCATTATAGCTTTTAAAAAATATTCCAATATTAAAAAATAAAAGGAATTAGAATGAGCTGCTAAAAGACAAATGGCGAAAAGTTGAAGTTAAGAAGTGTAGGAAAAAAATGAGAATGGTTAGAATCTTGATGGATTTAAATATTCTAGACAGATATTTCTCAAAATCATTCATTTTATATTTACAACCAGTCAAATGTTATCATTAGCTTTGTTCTCTGAGTCTTATTATTAAAATTTAGCCATGATTAAAATATCTGTCATGAATTGTTTTATCAACAAATTATAAATTCTTTTTTTTTTTCAATTATCTCATCTTCAACAATTAAGCTCCAAATAATAGTGAGGAGAGAATATTTTAAGAAAAATATTGGAAATAATTTCAAGAATACTGGAAGACTCAAAGCCACTACCAGTCCCTTGAGGATTCTGGCATTATTGGACCAAGCTCTTTATTTGATCGAATTTTAGGCTATATAAATAAATATTATACCAAAATAGTGAGTGATTTTTTACTGCTCCTGCCCACTAATTATTCCTTAAATTAGTACTGTTATCAATAATTTTTGTAACATTAAGAAAATACAAATCATATATTTCATAACTGACTAAAGTAAATAAAGTTAGATTACTCCATGATTCATTGGGATTTATAAATTTTGTTCTCTCCTAATGTAATTAATTTTTAAATAATCGTGTAACAATAATAAATCCAGTTTAGTAATTTTTCGCATTTACCAAATTTATTTCTTACCTTTCTATTTGCGAAATACCCTCCGTTATTCTTCAAAACTTTTTCAAGACGCGTCATATAAAATGGAACAGTGTTTTTAATGATGGATAGTCTTAGACTTTCTTTATCTGTAGGATTTTCCATTTTGAAGAATCTTGAAACCTCTGAAAGAAAACATTTGATTGTGAAGCATGGGTTTTAGCAGTTTTTATTTTTAGAAACATAATGCTACGAAACATAACTTAAAATTTATCAAGTAATTATCAAGAATAAAAAGATATATTGTTTGAATTTTTATTATATTTTTGAAATGTTGTAATCAAATGAAAAAACAAAAACATTTTATAACAATATTTGAGTGATTAGGTTTCTATTCTAAGATCTTACTATTTATTCAAAGTAAAAAATATTTTAGGTAAATGGCACTATTTTCTTTTATTCTTCTTAGCCACATATAATATTATTTTGAAATGAGATACAATTTTGTCCAAAAAGTAGAATAGAGTTTTTTTAGCAATAGTTTTATTTGTATATGGATACATGAATACTGAACTAGATGGAACAGTGAATCCTTCAGGCACTCTTAGTATAACATTTTTTACTCTTTGCGGCAAATTTGTAAGAGAAAGGTAGACACTAGACCAGATCTTTATCTCTTTAAGAGTACCTTCTTTAAAGGTGTTTGAAAAACTATGGGCAGTCAAAGCCAGCTTAGGATGTGCACGCCTGATTGGTCAATTTACAGTAGCCTATGATTCCGTGGACAGGAAATATGTTTTAAAAATCATGACTGAGTTTAGAGTTTCAAGGAAATTTATGTGATTAAGCATATGAAAATGGTCCTAAGTATTGAGTCTTGATACAATGAGAAGTATCCGAAGCCTTCAAAGTTCAGGGGTATTGAAATCTGCAAAAATAACTAGAAATCTCAAATTGAGGGTGTACAATGCTATGATAAGCCAGTTCTGATGCAAAGCTATAAGACCTGGGCTCAAACCAGTACCCAAGAAAGAATTATTGAAAGTTTTGAGAATAATATCCTCCGCACCATAACCATAAGGATCTAGGATCAGAGTACTAACACATGGAGGAAAAGGATCTACAGAGAATTGTTGGGTACCCCTTAACATTGGCAGATAGCAGTCGGACCCGACTGACTATTTAAAGAGTACCAAGAAATTTTTAACAGAAACTGATCAATTGAAACAAGATGATAAGAAGGCCAGGATGTTGCAATGAGAGATACGTAGCTTAAAGCACACCATCACGAATCCTCTGCACAACAATGAATGCCACAGTAGGTAGGCATAGAGCTATGTTGGAGGCCTAAAACTAGATAGATTGAATCAGCAAAGATGCTGCAGAGCTGCATGCAGATAACTGGAAGGCAATAGCGCTAGATCGGCAGAAGTGGAGAAGGCTGGAACAGGCAGCCAAAAATGAACTAAGTTGTTAGAGTCAACAGGGAGAAAAAAGTTTAGTTTTTGTAGAAGGGGAAATAGTTGACTGATTAATTATGAGGATGAAACAAAATTGTCACGAATTTCAGTTACGATAATATTTATTGGGTTAGCCTGGTTAAATACCTAAAACTGCTGAGCATATCCATGTAGCCTGCACCAGCTATGAGGCATTGAGGGCCAAATTAATGAGGGATACAGGGCTTTTCGTTCTAACAGAAAGACAATTACCCCAACTGATGTCTGAACAAAACTACCCACACTTTAAAAGTTTTGTATGCGGGTGGGAAAAAACTGTGGGCCCAACTCACTTCTTCCGGGGAAGGCGTGAAGAAGCAGTACCTGGAAGGCCACTGATTAGGACAGGAGAAGAAGATGGAGGACGATAAGATAAGTGACAAAATTATGAAGAAGGCTGTGTGCACAGCAATTTAAAAATGTAAAAAGATAAACTTGCAACAGTGATTTGTTATACAATGTGTATCAAGTCACTGCTGCAAACTCCCGTATTGTCTTAAAGGTAGGGTAAGGAGGAAAATAAAATAATAAAATAAATAATTAAAGCCTAGTTAAATAATAATTAATGGCTAACCCAATAAATATTATTGTGACTGTAATTCCTGACAATTTTATTTGATCCTTAGTTTTTGTAGTTGCTTTAAAACATATTAAACTATAGTGTATACATGAATTTAAAAAAAAAAATCATCCAAAATAGTATAAATTATCATTTGTAATAGCAACTTTACCTGATACAAAGTCTCCAAATGCAGCAACAATCATGTCAATTTGAAAGTTTTCACTGGCATTATTTCCAGATAAACCAGCCTCGATAGCTAAGTACCTTAAAATTGCAGTTGACTGATGAAAAACTTCACCGTCAATTTCTAACAAAGGCAGTTTTCCAAATGGTACTTCTGTAACAAAAAAAAAATGAAAATTATTGAAGGTGTAAAGTAATTTTTTTTTCAGATTTACCACTATGATTTTTTAAAATATTTACTAATTGTAGAAAGTTTATGTCCGTTTTATTCATAATAGATCACAATGGAAATTCAACAGACTTAAAAATACGTATAATTTAAAAGAATTATATTTTTTTATATAAAAAAATGTACTTGTATTGGTTTTGATGTTTAAAAAATATTGAATATATAATAAATCATAGAAATTTTTATATATCAACTAACTTTCTTTAAGCTCGACCCAGTCTTCTCTTGGCATACGATAATCTTCAAATTCCTTGCCCATGTAATGTAGTATATACCTTATCGGTTCTCCAAGCACTCTTATATTAAAATATATCAATTTATATTTTGTCATGTTCCTGAAATACAAAATTATGGTTCTAGTTTTATTTTTTTGATAATCTTTAGGAGATAGTATATATAAAACAAAAAAATTTCATTTAATCACCAAAAAATTATGATTTAGCTATAGTACCTATATTTTTTAAATAAATAGAGTTGTCTTTGGATTAATTGATTAATTAGAATATAACTTACCAGCTAGTAATGTAACAGCCTGAAATTTGTAACTCTGAAAACTTTCCGGTATAAGAAAAATGATCCTTTGTATATCTTTTATATCTTGATTCTATTTCCTCTCCCCACTCTTGTGGATTAACTTTCTTTAGATTCTTTAATCACCATTCTCATTTTGTTTGTTATAGCATTAAATTCATCATTACTAAGCTTTTTATTCAACAATGTTAACAAGGATAAAGAGAAAGAGACTTATATAAGTGTAGGTAGTTATCTAGGCCTTAGTAGTCTCCATTAATAAAATAATTTATTATAAAAGTATTCAAATTTTCGCAACTTCGGGCATCATCAGGGATACAATCTGATTTTAAAACATATTGACAATTTTTATATGTTGTTGGTGGTGTCCACCCTTGCACATGTAGTCCAGTACACACAGCTTCTGCATATCACCTAAAATGTATCATTAATATTGTAGAATTACTACTATTATTTCCTATAATACTACTTTTAATAATATTTAATACTTTAAATACTTTAAAGGTAGCAATTATCTATAATGGTGAAGAATCAGTTGACTGTTGATAATATGGCTTGTAAGTTGGTTGAATATTGTAGCCACAGTGAAAAAATAAAACTAAAAACTTGTATTTTTAAAAAATAAATAGAATTTGGAGGTTTTTTTTTCACTGTGACCGCAACCTCCAACCAACTTCTTTTTATATATATATATATATAGATATATAAAATAATAATATTCTATATATTATTATAGTCTATAATATTTAGTAACAAGCATTTCCTGTTTCATAGGATGATATTATAGAATAAACCTCATAATCAGTTTAATCCACATGGATATAATGTAATCTATTTGTACTATAAGATTTCTAAGTATTTTTTTCTACGGGTTCCAACCCTCTAGATATGTTATCAAAATTAATGCACTGTAGATAAATTACTTGAAATACTTTTTTTCCTCATAGCTACTGATTTTAGACCAATTGTAAATTGTAAAATTTATTATTTCCAAAAATAAGCAAACACATAGAGCCTTTAGTCTTACTTTATTTATTTATTTTTTTGTGAAAAACAAAGTAGAACTGAAGGATCAAATATATGTGTTTATTATTAGAAATAGAATGCAAGGCCTATCCAACCATATTAAAATATACGTGCATATTAATTTTCCCAATAAATTCTCTTTAATTTTTATGTGCTGTTGTTAAACCAGAATATTATTCCCTGACATATTTCTCTTTTATTCCATAAAAGTAGAAAAATATTTTGAACTGTGAAAATCAGTTAAGAATTTTTACATTTGTATTTCTTTTAAACTCCATCTAAACAATCAAAAAATAGAATAGTAAATCTCTTCACCAGAATTACCTAATAGGAAAAGCAAAAGAAAAGTCGTAAGCTTTTCACATCCTTTTTATTTTACTATTCCCCCACTCAAAAAATAGTTTAAATCATGAAAAACAAACCACCCGTCATAGAAATACTAAATAAAGATGGATAGAAAACTCATAATTTTTTCACACCAGCTCTCTTTCCAGCCTATCTCTGGATTTGTCTGGTAAAATATTTTGAATCGTTAATCTCCCTCATTAGTTCATCAGATAAAAAAGAAAGGCCATATGAAAAGGCAGAAAATCCTATTTCTTTTAACCAAGATTGCTAAAATACGTTTATTGTTCAATAATTCAATTTCTTAGTTCTGTCATTCAAATAAAAAATAAAAAGACAGCAGATAACTACAATTTATTTGTTATTCAAGATAAGGAATAAACAATTTATTCAGATATAAAAAAATCGAATAAATCATTCAATGTCAGCAAGAAGTTATTAAAAATAAGTTTGAAAGTCCGTGGTTGTGCTGGTTCTTCTGTTTTATTTTATCTTTCTTCTTGTTTCCTCATGGCTGCATTTTGATGACCAACATTTTGTCGTTTCAAAGGTATTTTTATCAAAACGTAATAACAACAATTGACATAAAATTATAACAAAAATAATGTAAAATTATAATTCAATATTATGAAGTCAGTTAAAAATATTTATAACATTCTTTTTAAGGTGTGTTTAGACATTTCACAAACTATGGGACAAACAAATATATAAATGGTTATTTTACCATGTTAGTATTTTTGTTTCTCGTTTTTGATATTTTCCATCCACTGAAGGTTTCAAGAGAAATGAAAAAAATAGTTGGTTTAGCAATAATGTATTTGTTAATTAAGTTAGATAATTGTTTTTTCTATAGTTTGTGAAATGTCTAAATGCACCTTTACTGACCAGATCAAGGATTTGAATAGCTTCAATAACGTTATTTATGTATGTATGGAAATATTTCATGAAATAGTTGATGTCTAATAAAGTCTTACCATTTTTAACGGGCCTCAGAATTGGAGTTTTATTTAAATAGAATTAGTAATAGAGATGTATAATATAAAGTTAGAAAACCAAAGATTTTAGAAAAAAAATATAACATATTACATAATATAATAATATAACATATAAAGTTGTTGAAAATAGTAAAGAGTGATGAAAAATCATATGGTAAATATAACATTTTTTCCTGATTAACATTTAAGCACTCATTAATGCCACCACTTAGGGTATTGGGGGGGGGGAAGAAGGATATATAAAATGTCCCAGTAGAAATGTATATATTTCCGATCTTTTATTTGATTCCGTTGTTGTTACTTATTTTAATAAGACAAAGCAATTGCGTTGCCTCATTTATATCCGATTTTATTAGTTTTTATTTCTGAACTGTAAAAACAATAGTATTTTGGTTGATAAAGATTGACGACTTTTAAAAATTATGATTGATTTAATGAAATTATCTTTGTAATGCCGAGAAAACCTTTGAAGCTTCCTATTTTTCCGGTTCTTAAGTAAGATAAAGAGCTTTGAGTTACTATTCTTAAAGTATATTAAAATTATTTCACCTTATCATTATTGATTTAAGGATTCATTATTCTCTTAACTTCTTCTTCTACTGTCCTTGGTTTAGCATTAACGCTTCACTTTTGTTGATTGATGCAAAATGTTTTATAAAATCCAATTGTGAACAAAAGGGAGCAAATATATTTTTATTTTAATATATTTTATTTTCTATTCTTAATGCAGAAATGTGCAATTTGACGTGATTTAATTTTCCTAACCCATTAATATCATTCCACACTTTTCAATCACTCATCAAAAACTTTGAAGAATGATGTTAAAACTGAAGAATCATATGAATTCTAACAAAATTTCATCAAATCACTTTCATAATTAGTTTCTATTCTTAATGCAGAAATGTGCAATTTGACGTGATTTAATTTTCCTAACCCATCAATATCATTCTACACTTTTCAATCACACATCACAAACTTTGAAGAATGATGTTAAAACTGAAGAATCTATATGAATTCCAACAAAATTTCATCAAATCACTTTTCTAATTCGTCGTAAGCTTAAAACTTTCTGTCCCAAACAACGCTGAGGACTCCGACCGATAATTAGTTTTAACAAATTAATTACGCAACTGAATTAGAGTGATATTGAATAAAATACTATTCAAATATTATGTAATATATAATAGCTTAGGAAATACAATCACTTTTTTGTAGAAATGGCATCATTGCATGAAGTTGCCGGATGTCTATGGCTAGCACTGGTCATACAATATATTTTAATAATATTTCAATTGCCCCTGTTGAATAAATCCTAGGACCCTACCTAGACAACCGTCTTTCCTGAAATCCTCAAATTAGACTGAAGACAAGGAAATAGAAAAACCCTGTAAGCTGCCAATAAATTACAATTGGCCAACATATATATGACTACAAGACCTATTAGTCCGTGGTACAGACCCCTTTTTATCGAATTATTAACATCCACCTGAAACTTCGTAAATAGTTTCATCTCATAGTAACCTACAAATATATTATTTACGAAAACTCTTGGAATTGGAGCGTTCTCAATATGGAGGGGAGCAAACTTTTTCTATTTAATTAGGTACTAAAAACTCATATTCATTTGTTTTCTATTTGAATTTGGTCAGAAAATAGAGAAAAAATGTGGCCTTCAAAAATATTAAAGCCGTTTGGCGTGACCTACACCCCCAAATTTTCAAAATAATGAGGTTATGTAGGACAAACGGCACAATATGTTTTAGGCCACCTTTTTTAAAGATTTTGTGATCAAATTATCTTACGATCAAAGTAAAAGCAAATGGGTATTTACGAGTTTTTAGTACCTAATTAAATAGGCAAAGTTTACCCTCCTTCAGATTGAAATGCCCCAATTCCAAGAGCTTTCAAATAGTTGTAGCTTACGATGAGATGAAACTATTTAAGAAGTTTTAGGTGGATGTTAATAATTTGATAAAAAGGGTTCTGTGTAACGGACTATTTTTGGATTTACGGAGTTGAGCTGCGGGGCTCCACTAAACCATCGAATTCCTCTCATATCCAAAATTCTTCATGAAAAACTCAAACCTTCTTACTTTTTCACAAATAAAGCTTAACGACCTTAATGATTCATATTACTTATTAATTCATATTACAAATACCTATCTATGGTTTAGCCAAAATAGAGCAAGGTACCCACCTTCCAATATAAAAAAAAATTAAAATCAAGTATGTAAAAATATTAAAATCAAGTTTGCAACAAATATAAACTTAATATCTGGAAAAACTAATTGATAATGGCAAGCCACTTGTTAGTTTTTCAACATTTCGAAAACATGCCCCCTTTAAATGAAATAATTGTACTTATCCTTCCATAATAATTACAGAACCATTCGAACCCGATTGTTTCTAACCTCGCTTCCTCTACATTTCCTGA